CTCGAGAATACCTAGACTATAGCACCCGCTGAATGAAATCAGTACAGCTGAGAGCAAGAACTCTACTAAATATAGACTTCTATCAACGCGGATGATTTGTAGGAGGCGAAGGTCGATGTGCTTGTCGTTGATAACCAGAAAGTGCGTGAACAACAGATTGCAAAACTGGAACAAATCCGTAAGACAAGAGATCCTGAAAGGGCCAAAGCAGCTCTGGCAGCCATTACTGAAGTAAGGAACCAGTTGAGCAAGTTTCTTCCAATACATTCTGCAGTAACTATATACCTGACTCTCTCAAGGGAGCAGCCGGTAAGGGCAACCTTATGGAGTTGGCTATTGAAGCGTCTCGAGCCCGATGTACCGTTGGCGAAATCAGCGATGCTATGGAGAAGGTTTTCACACGGTAAGGACCTTTAGCGCATTTTGCTAAGCACTACACAGAGTGGCTTAAAAGTATGGGCCCTATTTTTCCCCGCAATTTTTCTTGCACTCAAACGGAGTTACAGCCTTGTTCGCTGCGAGCGATGGGGCGTGTCAGGAAGGCTGGGTACGGCGCGCCACCGTGCCTGTTCCCCAGCAGTTGTTGAAGCAGGTGAATGACAGCAGTCGATGGAAAGCGACCGATAGCTACTAATACGAACGATATCATGCAGTCTTGTCGCTTGCCGAAAGAGAAAAGAAAAGATGGACGGTTCCGCACCAAGACTTTCGCCCCTGACACGCCCATCGCCCGCTGCGAACAAAGCTAGAGTCTGGGAGTCGAGCAAGCGTTCAAAATACCTTCAGAAGGTGCTTTGATTTCTACAGTCACGAAGGCACGGAGACAATGGCTAGACGAAACCTAGGGTAACATGAAAAAGGCTAATGGTAGCACCAGGACTGGTACGCCGCGCAAAAGGTCGTGCACGATAGCCAGATGATCGTCAGTTGAGTAGCTCCACCTCATCAACTCAAAAGAATTCTGAAAAGAAAAAATCGAAAGCACTGTCCCTGGAAGGCCTCATTTTTTCATAAAAGAATGTCCCCTACAGGTAATACACCACAGATTATCACCATTGAAGAAGTGGACAATGATGTCCCAGCCTATCAAAAAAGGGCCTTGAGATAATTAAGACGTTCGGAAGCAAAGCCGCAGCGGATGCTCTTCTGTCGTGTGGTATCCAGCTCACGAGGAGAATCAGGATGATGTGAATCAGGATGATGTTTAATTGGCATCGCCGCAACCAGTCAGGGTTGTATAAGGGAGCGTAAAATGACCCCGCCTCCTGCTGATGTCTTCTACCAATAGTGATCGACTAGTGATCGATTTAGGAGGACATCAGCCATTGGTAGAAACGCTGTGGGTGGGCTCATTCCATACCTCCTGCTACCTGAAAGTCTACACATGCTTTGGACGCTCCGTCGCCGATTTCTTCAACAAAGAAAGAGGTCTCCCAGTAGCTCGGCCACAAGTCCACTTGATCTTCCCATGTGCGATTTTAGAGAAGGGAAACCAACGAAAGAGAAATAAGTCACTTGGGACACTCTTTGACGTAAACTTCCAATGCCTGATGGGAGCGAACTACTTGCCCAGCATCGGCGATTATCCCGCATTTGGAACTTCTAAGCCGTAGGTGAAGGGCGTACACCTCCGGCTTCTGATGAAATTTGTTAATTCGGAACTACTGTTGTGGATCCAGTGGAAAATTCGCTTGAAAAAGTGTGCACTCCTGGAAAAAGGACACTTTGTGCGCGCACATACTTTTCAGTCACTCTGTATATCACCAAGTTTAAAGCCAGTTGGCACGATTGCTGGTGGATTTCGCGAGCGTTATTATTGGGGCTGCGAGAAAGCATTTAGCCATACCCCACTCAGCCCTCCCAGGAATGACGCTGACGTCAACCGCCCAGCCATCGTGCCCACTGTCTTCGAGAAGTTCTTCTTCTGATTTCTTTGTCTGAAGCAGAGTGCAAGAGCACTTTCATTCAGCTATGCTGCTGTCAACAGAATGGTTTCCGGCGCCTACAAATCGGAATTCGGCGAAACCGATGAGCTCGCTCATGTAATCCTTAGACCCTACACCAGGAGCTTTTTCGTACTCCTAATCAGAATATTGGAATCAGTTACCTTCAGGTGATGGAACGTGTGAAGGCGTTTGCTGCAAAGGAAGGTCGTCAACCTCGTATTATGGTAGCCAAGATGGGACAAGATGGTCACGACCGTGGTGCCAAGGTTGTGGCTACCGGATTTGCAGATTTGGGTGAGTTCGAGGCAGCATAATATTGAGGGCTTTGAGCTGTTAAACAGCTTTATTATAAATCTGCTGTTTCGCCTGACTTTCGCATTTTACCACCTTAATTACTCCTCATGATAAAGCCTGAGTTCAGGATTCGACGTTGACGTTGGACCGCTGTTCCAAACTCCGGCCGAAGCTGCACAACAAGCTGTTGACGCAGATGTTCACGTGATTGGAGCTAGCAGTCTAGCTGCCGGACACCTTACACTTGTGCCTCAGCTGGTGAAAGAACTTGCCAAGCTGGGAAGAGAGTAAGTGCAAACTTCTACCCGTAACTGAACTACAGGCAGGACTCAATATTATGTGATTGCAGGGATATTCTTGTGGTTGTTGGTGGTGTGATTCCTCCGCAAGACTACGATGCTCTCTATAAAGCCGGTGCAGGTCTGATCTTCGGACCTGGGACAAGACTGCCAAGTTGTGCTAACCAGGTCAGAATTCAGCCGCCTTAGCAGCTGATAGTTCCCGAGTGATTTCAGGAAATTAGGGTCGAGGGAACGTTGCAAAATGAGCGAAAATCTTTGTTATAAATTGTGACTAATAACCAGATGCTGCATTAGGCACTGCATAATTTTTTTTGAATAGCTCATAGCAATAGTAGCTTGGAGTCATCTTGAATGGGGCGTGTAAGGCTGCGTTCATACTTTGCGGCACTGTCCACCAGCGAACATTAGCGTCCACCAGCGTTCCGAGCGTCCGGAAACGTCTGCGACTACGAGCGTCCAGCATCTTCCGGGAGTGGAGAGTACGGGGCGATAGAGGGGTAGCAGACAGCTGGTAGAGTAAGGGTAGACAGGGGGTAGCAAACCGTTGGTAGAGAGCATGGCGCGATAGAGGGTAGCAGACAGCTGGTACCCCCTATCGCCCCATACTCTCTACAATCGGACGCTGCTGATCGCTGGTGAACGTTGGCAGACGCTGGCAGACGCTAGATCGATATCTATACTTTCCTAGTCGCTGACGCTGCCGGACGCTCGGAACGCTGTGGACGCTATTGGTCGCTGGTGGACGCTGCCGCAAAGTTTGAACGCAACCTTAGAGTGTCCCAAGGCTCATGGCAACGCCGGCTCTTGTTTTTGCGTCTCAGTTGACCCATGAGATGTAGCACGGCCTACGATAAACTGCACCTAAAGTAACTCACTTGTGGGAGTTTGACTTCTTCCAGGATTTGTCGAAAGTTGCGCAGGAATATGAGCGCTGGTATCTCCTTTGTAGACACTATTAATTTTTGTTAAAATGGGTGCACAGCAATAAGGGCACCTCCTATCGCTGGGTAAAATTTTTGGAAAATACGATCCCCCTCCGTCCCCTATCTACCATTTTCCTAGATTTTCCCAGGTTCCTACCCACTTTTTTCAGAATTTCCCCGGAATTTCTCGAAAATCTTCCTACTTTTCTCGAAGTTTTGTTGTCGAGTGGAGGGGGGGGGAACAAGAAAAATTATGTATTAAAAATAATTTGTTTTTCTTTTTTTTTTTTTTTTTCCCACAAAGAAAAGTACGACCTGCCCGTCCGGTGACTCCCAACATACAACGTGGGACGGTAATATCCGGCAGCGGTACATACATCTAAGATGGGGTATCCACAGCGGAGAGGGGTCAGTTTACTTGCTATGATAGGGGGAATGGTATGGTCGTGGTGTAAGAGGAGAAACGGGGGTGAAGTTCGCTGGTATATAAGTTAATGTCCTCCACATCCTAATGACTTTCCTGGTATACAGGCCCTTCAGGGGGGGTGGGGGGGATATCTCCTACAGCCTTTCACCAAGCCAAGGAGGGGGACATCTTTCAATTTTCATGCGTGAAACCAGATGAAACCGCGAACTTCGTACAAAAATGACGTACAGACCTGTTCGCTGCGGATGAAGGGGCGTGTCAGAATGTATACACTTGGCGCACCGCCGCCCGTTCTCCATCAGTTGATGAAGAGGATAAGTGACATAAACGTTGAAAAGCGGCTGATACGTACGATATGATGCAGTCTTGTCGCTCGCCGAAAGAATAAAAAGCGAAATAACGAGCGCCGCGCCAAACGCACCGCGCTGACACTCCCCTTCATCTCAAACGAATGGGACTATAGCTTTTCAGTTGTTCATAAGTGAAACTATAGTGAAACTTGATTCAGGTCCTTGATAAACTCGAAAACATGGGTAAGAAAGAGTCAGCGAAATCGTGACTCCAGAGAAGAAACTAAATAGATTTTGTAATACGTCGATACTAACACTTATATTGCTTTATAGAGGACTTACATTTTGAATTATTTTATTCACCCCATGTTCCTGATTTCATGTGATTGTGCATAGTTCTACCGAAAAAGAACCTTGTACTGCTGATTGTTTTCTTTTTCTGTTCGGTTTAAAATATGAGGCTTTTCTCAAACGAAACTTCGCTGAGAACAATAATATCAGAAATCTGACATGGGAACACCCAATGATAGACTGTAGGATTGCCACATATATGCTGCCTTTTTACCCCTAATGAGGGAGTAGTTCAGGACGTCCGAGATGCGGCATATGCAAACCAACTAGTATTACTGGTTAGACAGTGTTCACACTTCGCGGCAGCGTCCACTAGC